CCCCAAAACCCCAAAACCCCAAAACCCCATTAATGAAAAGTAGACTGTATTCAATGAGTCAAGAGAATAGTTGCTAATTTGTTATATAATAGTCATTAAATTAAAATGAAGTTATAAATTCTTTTGCCTCTAATATTTTCAATCATATCTACTGTTAATAGTGGTGCAATAACCAGTGAGGATAATATATTTGAATAAGTCTTTGCAGACCCTTAGATGAAACCTCTGAGAAATATTTTTGAATATGGCTGGTTAATCTTAAATCAACTGGAGTTTTGTCTTTTTCCAAAAGAACAAACTTGGAATTACTCTTACTTCCATCAATTCTTGAGGTAATATGGATTGAATCAAGAAAACTTAGATGATGCTCTAGATACTGTTAAGTTATAAGAAAAGCCCCTAGTAAAATTTTAGGAACCAAGAATACCCAGAAAAACTCATAGAGTTTGGATAACTCACTCATTAAATCCTACAGAGTGTCACGATTCAGTGAAAAATCCTTAACTATTTGAAGAAATACTAAATACTAACAGAGTGCTAGATTAATCAGCATCAATCAATAGTGGGAAATGGGAGCATTATCTATGGACAAATGATAAATCCGCAATACCTAAGACAGTGAAATGGTTTGAATAGAATGGCATCAAAGTGAGGGAATTGAGGGAGCTTCCTAGCTATGATTTAATTTTCGATAGAATGATTGAGGAGTACTCAGTAGGAAAATTTGCAGCAGCTGCAGATGTTGCTCGTATGATTATTATGAATGATGAAGGAGGATTATATCTTGATATTGATTCCTATTTCGCAAGTTTCGATGATGACTGGCTTTATTACTTTGATTCTATATTTTGGAAGGATAGACTGAGATTTGATAGTTTGGTTCTCTTCAACTATTAATTTTTAAGCAAGCCAAATCATCCAGTCTCGTAGGAATATTTGAAGTTGTTCAAGATATCATATACTAATCCAGAGCATCTCAAGAAATGCTATATAAAGACAAAAGGTATTACGCTGTGGGAAACTGGGCCATTTATCTTTACCATTGCCTTCATACTCGGAGCTCAGAAAAATGGAAATAGAGATTTCGTAATGTTCCCTTAGAATACTAATGAAGATTAAGTTTATAGTTTTTATGACACAAAGTCTTAGCCTATTGATCTTAAATTCCATGGATATTCAATTGGATTAGGGAGTTGGATTGATGATTATGCAGATACATTAATATTTGGTTTCGAATGAAATGTCTAATATTTTAAATATCTAATGTTTTAATTCTCCTTGAGATTATTTTTAAATGATTGGGGTTTTGGGGTTTTGGGGTTTTGGGGAGATCGGAAGAGCACACGTCTGA